CCCCCCCCCCCCCCCCCTTTTTCAGAGTCTGATCTGGTCCCCACGACGGACGGTGCGAAGCCCGAGTCATAAACCTGATATGGAGGAGACCCTGATCAACCTGCAAGTCTGAACTCAGTTCGGTAAAGCCTTTCTGCTCTTTCATGGTGATGGCTGGACTTCTGCAGGAGGATGTGATGTACGAGGCGGGAGGCAAGCATTTAGCACAGGAGTGTGATTTTGCCGATGATGCTGACCTTACGGTTTGGTCATGTGCATAAAGAAGCCACGTAGCAGCAGCCGCCGCGGCAGCAGCGGCATCAGCAACTGCGACGAGAACGCCAAAGAGAGCCGAGCGTCGGTATAGCGTAGTATAATACAGCATAGTCATGTACACTAGTATACCGTATCATACAGTATAGGATAGTATAGTATTTGCTGTACGTTCTTGCGCTTGTCGTCGCCTCCTTGTAGTCTTTGCTCGTGGTGGTTCTGGTTCTGTTGATGGTGTGAAGGCGACGAATGCGATGACGACATCTACGGTGAATAAGAAGGTGAGAATGACGGAGAGCATACCCTAAACCCTAAACCCTAAGTGTAGCTGACTCTGATTGCAGTGAAGAGGATGAGGAGAGGATGTGGAGTGAGAAGCATCAGAGCCATCAGAATGATCTTGTGTTTTGCGCGGTCATTTTGACAAGGGTTAGGAAGATGACCGTTCTGAAGGCAAGATCACGACGGTGAGCATGGGACAAGCCGTTGAGGGTGACGGCGATGATGAAACTGTTGTGTGTTGGTGGTGGCGATGATAAGAAGGCTGGCGTTTGCAGCGATGCTCGATGATGAAACTCGTCGGCAGAGGCTGGGTGCCGTGTGATCGACAACGGCTGACATGGCGACGGTGACGGTGACGATGTGATGGCGATTGTGAAGACGATGATGCTGGTGCTGACGGTTATGATGGTGGTGGTGGCGATGATGGTGGTGACGGTTATGAGGGTGGTCAGGGTGGTGATGCGGTGGTGATCGGTGCACGGGTCATGCTGCTGATGATTTTGATTATCAGGATGCAAATGTCGATGAATCATGGACAGGGACTAGAGGAGTGTGAGGAGCAGCAGAAAGGAGCATGATCGGCTGCGACACAGAATACGATTTTGATGGTGAAGGTGTTACTGTAGTAATAATGTGAGAGTCGTGATGATGATAGAGGCGATAATGATAACCATCACTGCTTCAACACGGTCATCCCACCGTCATGATAGCCATGAGGACGGTCATTGGCATCATGGCAGCACCCACATCTGTTGTCAAAATCCTCATCACGGTCGTCGCCGTTCACGGGCGTCGCCATCATCATCGTCATCATAATCGTCATCGTCATCCTTCCCATCTTCATCTTTACCACGATGCCCGTCCCTAGTCTTTAGTGCTTTAGCTGCTCTTCCAGGGCTGCTGCCTTCGTTCTTCCAGCCTGGCTGCGGACATGCTTTCACGGCGCTTGGGGTCGCCTCGGCCATGTATTGGGCTGATTCAAACCCCGAAGGCTCCATGTACCCTTATAGNNATATGGGTACATGGAGCCTTGGGGAGCACTGCTTCATTCTGGTTTTTGGTGTGTTCATACACAAGAGTGTTGCGGTTAAGACTGTGATTGTGCAGCTTCGCCTTGTGTGTAGACTTCCTTTCATCTTTCATAGCAGTCATCATCATTATCATGATCATCACCGCCACCGGCACGCATTGGGTTTATCATCCTCAGCATTCTTGTTACCATTGACCTGAGTCATTATTATTGCAACTACCCTTGCGCTCCACTAGCTGTTTTCCTCTAGGGGGTTCAGTAAACTATCCGAATATGAGTATCGTACGCTCTTAGGGGGGGGTAGGGGGGGACGGGGGGGGGG